TCTATATGACTAGCCGGAAATCTAGTCCCATAGTACCATCCTAAACCTATTTGTGTGATACGGGAAATTTAGCAGGAGGCTCTTGGCAGGAAATCAAGGCCTTACCTCGTCAATCCAGAGACACACGGACCATTGGAGCCGTTTAATGTCAATGTCAACCAGGACGCAAGGATCACTATCATCAGCCGTAAACTATTCCCTGGAACCCTTTTTTTTTTTTGGCGCAATTCTACCAAATCCTGAAATTTAGTTTCATGTATGCACATACAGGGATGATTGACGCTGATCGACACTGATCGACACTTGGGAAGTTTTCCCAGCTATTGAGAGATACGACCCTGACAATTACCCCGGAAATATCCCGACCGCGGAAACTTGACAGAGAGGTCCCAAACTTTATCTTGGGGCTGTCCTGAAAATTCTCTCAAGAGCCCCTCGTGATATGATGTATTCCTAGACCAGAGACAAGAAGAGTCGTAGCAGTCCGTTAAGAACAACTCGAGCTAGATCTATTCTATGGGAAGGTCCCGGACTTATCAGATTTTTTCTAGCAATGATCCACTGATTTCATCGTCCTAGCAATTTCAAGCACGGCATACGTGTAGCATTCATCCCGTGGTGTGGGTTGACGCTAGGAGGTTTGGTCTGCTACGAACGCCTACGAACGCCTTACGGCTGATACGCATTCTAGGTTTGTTACATCCGGCGCCGTGGTAATTTTTCGTACGACAGGCACTCCCATGAAGGCAATCTTTCTGGTGACAGGCGTGAAAGAGGCAATGATATAGACAACCGTTTCGGGACCTATGCATACGTGGGGTGGTTTAGAGTAGCCAATACTTTGTAGATTGCTCCAAAACAACCAAGATTTTGTAACCTATTAAAGAATTAGACTTTGCCGCACAGTCCACACGTTTGACAGATTTTGCAGTGCCGGTTAGCTCGCCAGGCCTGGCAGGAACTGGTGGCTGTCATTCAAGATATAAATATTTAGGGGGGAACCCCAGCAGTAGATAGACTTACCTCTCTCGCAGTTGTTCAATAAGAATGGATTCTGACTGTGAGTTTCATGGATAAATTACATCCGGGCTGAGCATCTGACCGAGACAGCTATCCAACCAGTCTTTGATGTCAAAGATAAATCCATAGCCCCGTGCTTCATGGTATATTATTTACTCAGTTGACAGCTGCGTCTAATGAACTGACCGCAATCAGGCTCAGGCAACCATTCCGGCAGACACACGTCTGAACAAGTTGGCTTACGCCTACTTTGTGCTCATATATATCGACGCAGATGGCACAGTGCGTCTACAAGTCTCAGAGTCAATCGCAAATAATTGGCCGTCGATACAATCCGCCGGGTTGATTGATGAATTTCTGAGAGCCGTGAGTATGCCAAGCGGGACCTGCATTCCGAAATATCAAGGTGAATATTACGTTGACCCCAGAACTGTGTTAAATTGATGACCAATGTTAGTAAAACACGGCATGTTAGTGTCGCCCAAGCAAGCCATGACAACGACTGCCAAACCTTTTCACTCATTGCAGGTGGCTCAGGCACCCTACACTGGGACTAATCTTGGGATTGAGGGCCACACGCGAAATCCTGTCGCAGTGGCAACTCCCTTTCAGCGTACAGTGTGGCCTATCTACAACCAGTCTAAATTCCGCTTGCCTACTGAACTTCTCTCACTTAACTTGAAGGATGATTGCAACAATAATTTCAATATGAATAACGACAAGAGAGCCATGATATCCGTCAACAACCGAGATCACTTGACCTTGTATTACACAGAGGCCTTCGAGAGTCTACAACAGACAAATTGCCGAATCCTTGCGAAAGCCTATATCAAGCTTGTGGAGCCTCGCAAGCAAGTGAACCATCCATACAATGGACGAAAGATTGTTTCAGGGATTACAAGGCAGTTTGATCCCCAGGTGACTAAACCACCGTGGTGGCCTTCTGGAGTAAGCCATCGGGAGCCAGATCACCTCCCCAAAATTGGTAGGAGTCCCATTGTTTTACAAATGTACAGCATGTTCCTGACCACAAGTAGAACGCATTCGGCTCTTGGTTCACATTCTTCGCGAGCTGCGCATCAGCCACGGGATTTCCGTCGCAAAACTTCAAGAAGCTGATCTGCCGATCCGCTCTCAGATTTTTCCACCCGAGCGATTACAGGTCCTGGACGAGCTGTACCGAGTCAGGCAACAAGAAGAGCAGATCTTAATGGGAACAAACGGTAGGCGTTCCGACAGAAGACTTGGTTGTTACGAGGCTTATGTCCCTTCTCGTAGATGAACAAACCATAGCTTGGAACTCTAGTGCAAATCTTCCGAAATCAGCAGGAATAGATGCCAGCACTACAGACGGCAGCGGAGACAGCAGCCCAATTAATCCTGCCACCTTTCGAGAACCCGAGCCTTTTATAAGCTGCCCGAGATACGCCTCTACTGTGGATGCCCCCGACGGAGAGTTCTCCACAGATTCATCCTTGAGCCATAATGCCCGCCCAAGTCAAATCGCAGATATCAAGGCCGAACAACAAATACTCGAGCACCAATCAAATTTTGACTCTCTGTGTGTCTCTCCACATGTTCTGAAGAGGAAACGTGACTTCTTTGAGACCTACCCGGTTAATACAAGAAGACCTACCCGCCTTGCGCACGATTCTCCACCTACTCCAAGTGCTAGTCAGCCAGTCTACGGCACTCCTTACTACTTTCAGTACCCAGAAGCCTTTCTAATCGGATCTTCATTCACGGATCTGTCACAAGATAGCACAGTGAAAGGTTATGATTCTCTCGACTATTTTGGCTGTTGTACGTGAGACGTCAAGACTTTAGAGCCCTTCAATACTATGACTCATTGTCTATACCCCCTCTAGCTTTATTTTATAATCTAAGGACAATTGAGGTATATCCTCAACTGCAGAGAGTCAAATTTTCCATGTGTTATCATAACTATACCGAACTGCTTTCCTACAAAAAAAAAAGTTGAGGTCACATGACCATCCAGGTCATGTGACCCCGATGGTCCTGTAAGTAGTTAGATAGTCCTAGGAGGTTCGAAGCTTCTCTTCTGTCCTCTCCGTCTCTCAACCAATAAACTATCGTTATTGCTGGCTTCTTCCTTGCCTGTCAAGAGAATCTGAAAGGATGAGGTAGAAAACACAGAGAGCTATTTTGGAGGATTGAAGCAAGAAAATAGTTCCAATTTATAATTCAGTAATTTGATAGGACCCAAGACTGTTCTCCGGCACCTCCCCGTGACAGATGGACTTTGTGCCTTCCAGTTTTGCGTCATCAGGGCTGAGTGCGCTATTTTTGAGAGCGGAACGAGACTGAAGATCATGCACCTCCAGAAATAAGAGGAGCATGGTGAAAATTGAGGACCATAAAAAGTAGTCGCAAAGTAAATAGTATTGTGGGGCAAAGAGCCTCTTTGGGTATGGTCTGAGTGTAGACTGGGTGCTCAATAGATGACTCTGAGCGCTCACTGAGCGTTCATTGGACCTCACTGATAACTCACGTGACTGGTCTGAGCCTGACTCTGAGCGCCCTCATAAAAGCGGCGGCAGCTAAGATAGGAAAGCCCCAATCGGCAGAGGAAATCAAGTAGGTATAGCTACTTATGTATGTCATTCTTCAGGCGGTCGGTTCGGACTCTGTTGAGAAAAGAAGATACTCGGTGGCATTTGCTATCTAAATAGACTCTGATTTCGGCACCGAGACTCGAATGCCGAAAAATCCTCCTTGGTTTGGATAAAGTCGTCAACATTGGTAATGCTTTCTGAACCCCGTGTTACATTATTGTTGGGCCGAAGGATGCTTTAGAATCTTGCGTGAAATGCCCGCCAAGCCAGTCGCAGGGCGCATATATTGTTGAGATTCATGGCCTCTCCAGGCATCTCCAGGCGTGAAATGCCTGCTTCGCCGAGCATGAAGCTCATGATCAGCATTGAACCTACCATGTAGAGTATAGTTCAGGAGGAATGCTTCTCATTAAATAGGATCTCTCTCTCATTGAGGAGAGATCAGGCTTAAACAACCTCGTTGGCATTGACCTACATGCGTACTAGCATCACCGTATCTCCAGTTTCAACATATATCAATCCACTTGCTAGCATCGCCACGGAGCTTATACAGAAATATGAGAATAATGATGGAGTTGTTGGGGTCGATGTCTTGGGCAGCTGGCCCGTCGATTCAGATGCATATAATTTCTTCTCTGCAATCTCACCCACGAGATCACTCGAGAGCTTAAAAAACGTAAATTGACTTCAATCAATACTAGCCGTCTTACAGGCTAAATTTAGGCCAGCATCCGCTCGTCAGGGAGAATTATCTACTATCAGGCGAGTTGGCCCTCTTAGCTAGAATGATTTCCATTTCTGCAAAGATGTTTTATTCTTCTACAACATGAAAAAGAATTTCTCGCAGTTGCTTGACCATTTCCGGGCTTATTTGGGCGCTGTGCAGAAAGATGAATAAACGTTACTCATCCTATAATATTTCGATATTTTTCATTCTAGCTTTCCTTCGTCGGGTGTACCACGACATCCGACCATTCAAGTTCAGCACGGATTAGTAACTCTTGGGCTTCTGGTATATCCAGGGAGCAGATAAAACAGCTGGTTTCTCTAAGTGTATTGCTACCTACCTGTCTCTGGGATTCAAGTGGACGGGGGGCGTGCGGTATGGTCTTAAAGGGTGTCGATATAAATGATAATTATACTATTTCTCCCGGCTATTGCGGACATTACCCTTCCCAATCTTCAACTTGTATCAATGGGTCCAGATAGTCATGGTTGCTTTTATTCAGGTTGGTAACCAAGACATGAATTGCACTCTGTTAGAGTACATGCGGCACCGTCGGGCTAGTGTTTTGCTTATTCAAAAATACCAAGCCGACGGAGAATAGTCACAGTTTCGCTGTCGTTTGGCGTGTCTTAACATGATTGTGTCCAAATTCTCGTATCCTCCTCAACCTCCACATCTCAGAACCCGAGTAGCATTTCCACGACCTCTTCATGATCATTCCGTGCGGCCCAGCATAATGGCGTTAGACCCTCGTTGTCTTTTGAGCCCACATCCACCTTCCCAGTCTGGAGTAGCAATTTCACGATACCCTCACGCCCAAATTCCGCGGCCCAGGACAATGGTGTTCGGCCCCCGTAGTCTTTTATGTCCACTTCCACCTTCCCAGTGCTAAGTAACAGTTGCACTGCCGCCTTATAACAACTTGAACCACTTGACGCGGCCCGGGACAATGGTGTTCGGCCTTTGGAGTCTTTGGAGTCCATATTCACCTTCCCAGTCTCGATCAATAACTTCATCACCCCTTCATGGCTCCATTCTGCGGCCCAGCACAATGGTGTCAGACCTTCGTAGTCTTTTGAGTCCACTTCCACCTTCCTAGACTCGAGTAGCAATCTCACGATCTCCTCACGGCCATGTTCTGCGGCACGGGACAACGGTGTTCGGCCGTCGTAGTCTTTTGAGTCTACGTGCGCGTTCCCAACCAGAAGTAACAGCTGCACTGCCGCCTTATAGCCACGTGATGCGGCCCATGATAATGGTGTTCGCCCCTCGGAGTCCCTCAAATCAATATTTATCTTCCCAGTCTCAAGTAATATCCTCACTATCGCATCATGGCGACTCTTGACGGCGAGGCATATTAATCCCCGGCCATGTCCATCCATCCATTCCGGCTCAGCCCCTTCTTGAATTGACATTCGAGCCGTACCCTCCTTCCCTTGAAGGGTGGCCCATACTAGTGCGGGTCTCGAACTGCAAGAGTTGATGCGATAGAGGTAAGAATTGAGAAGTGAATAAAATCGTCGGTTGGTGAGACATAACGAGTTGATATCTCTTTCTGTCTCCAGGAATGTCACTGTTATCAGGACTAATTCCGAGGGCAGGTCGAGGAGCGACATGGTACAGTGACTAGAATATCACCAAGCTAGGCCGAGCAGAAAATGTAATCATGTCGTAGTAAACAAATTTAGGATTGATAATGTGGGTGGCGCCGGTACCTTGAGGAAATGAGAAGAATTGAGATAGTCGCGACCGAGAACACTCCACTGGGATGGAAGGAAAACAAACAAACTAGTGACTAGATTTATATCTTATATACCCTTTCACGTGCCATCAAGGAAAAGCGATAGTCGCATTAGTCTGAAACGATCATGAAAGCCTCCGTGCGAATACGTCAGCATATCCCAGGAGTGATAAGAGCTCGGCTATATATAATGATTGGATGTTCTAGCGGTACGAGTTTAATTAGTAGCGAAGTAATGTATCAGATGAATCATTACTTTTATCTATCAGGTTTAGGAAAGGTCGGAAGAAAGTTACACATTTGAGGGTCGTGAGGGTCCCTCTGCCTGTTCCGGGTCGGTGCGGGTCGGTTCTCGAGTCCAAAATCTTGGACCCGTTGCAGGTCAGGGCGTGGTCTATGTGCCTACCTATAGTTGTGCGCGTAAACGCCCACCATCCGAAATACACCTTTCTGTATGAAATTTTCCTGGCTTCAGCGAAGGACTTTCCGGCAAGGGATTCAGAGGGTTTCCTAGATATCGACTTTATGGGATGTAACCAGGATCTTCCAGCCGGGAAAGGAAACTTCAGCAAGGGGTCTTTTCACAAACAATGAGACTCAAGGTGTTATGTTGAAAGGGCCTGCGGGCTGAAAAATTTCAACTGAAAAGCCCGTCGTCGTTTCTAGGGTGTTTGTGGGGGGCTCGGGAAGCCCCGCTAGTGGGTCCGCAACCGGTCCGCCGTTAGCTCCTTGCATGCATGACAGACAGCCTATTGGACCCACCATTTACGCCACACGATGGTCGTGGGGACGCTTATATTATCCGCCCAATAAAATAGCTCACGGCTTTGCACTGGGTGGCTCGGAGTTCAGAAACCAAGGATGATGACGGGGGTGGGGGAGGCCCTAGTCTGCTTGGGCTTCCGCTTTACTTAGGTAAAGGAAAAGTGGGCCCCGCTAGACTGGGAATTAATTAACTCGCTAGAGGGGGCATTCCTAGAGGGCTCGATCGAGCTCAAATGCTGGCAAGTTATGATAGACTATCTAATGTATCCCAATTCGCTTTGGAGCAGGCACAGCCTACTGATTGTGGATAAATTCGCGATAAAAATCGGAGATAAATAAGGACGACTTTATTTAGTGGTGGGCCAGACTTCTGGTGCTCATCCATACCCTCCCTTACGCAAAGTAAATTTTGAAGCAAAACATACTTCAAAGCATTAGGAGAACTTCCACCATGTAGCTCACTATGCCACAGGTATACGAAAGCTCCTATATCAGCGATGTGGGAAGACTATTCCGCATCCATACCATACCGCGAATGGCCTTAATTCGCTTCGGAGGCATCGGGAGAGTAAAGCATGCGAAAGAGCGACCGGGAACACCACGATTAAACAGAATATACAGGACTCTCTCCAATTAGCGGTACACTGTTATGTTTCTCTAATTTTACCTTTATACATTTTACTGATTTAATTCATCGGTTTAACCACATACCCTCTCAGAAGCCAGTTTTTAACCGAGACGCGTGTGAGCGAGACCAAGTGACATTAATCGCAAAATCGGAGCTCCCTTTTCAAATAATCTCCCACCCCGAGCTTCTCCATTTCGTGACACTAGCCAATCTCTCGCCACGTCCACTGTCCCTCCTTTCTCCTAAGACCGCGCTGCGTCGGCTTCAGGCTATAGTATAATCAGACCAAAGCAAGTTTCTTTCGCTTGTTCCGAAGTTGAGGTAGGGAAGCCCATGGGATTTATAGGCGTGCCCAAAAAGCCCATCTTTATCGAATTTTGCGCTGACCCTTCGTCCCCAGGCAGAATTTGCGAACACATTTCCCCATGAAGGGTCTGTATCAAAGATTGGGGGAACTTTCCAGGAAATATCAGGCTTTCTCAATTGAGCAAAATATAAACAGCACTTGTAACCTCAGTAGTCTAATTTATTTAGCGGGAATCCCTGTAGAATTAAAACAACGAAGTTCTTAGGAAGCCGAGCGCTTGCTTAGGGCTTTATTTTGATGTGCTGTTCAAGGAGCCAACCCACGTTATGACACTTGACGTGAGATGATATCCGAGGAAATCAGAAAGGCTTTCTGCGCAGAAACATCTACTTTAGACAACGCCTTGACCCACGCTGTAGCCTTTTTCAACTTTGGGGAGATGCCAACGGTGTCAATCGCGCCGACGTTGGCACGGAGAAATGATTCGGTCAAAATGATGGTGATGGCCTGCATGAGATAATGGAGAGCGCACCACCATGGAACGACCCCATACAACCAGGTCAAGTTTGGTTCATCTGGCAGCAAGTCGAGTAGTTGACCTGTGGCCTGAATGCATATGCTCGCCATTGGATCGAAAAGATCTTCAGGTTCGTCCGAAATCTCTGCGGAGCTATACATGAGTCGTCGAAGGCATGGCTGTGTGATGAGAAGCTTGGTGGAATAGAACTGGAAAGCGAGCCGGAGCAGTTGATGTCTCAGAGGCCCGGTCATGCAAATCCTTTGGAACTGGTAAGATGCCGGGAGCGACGCAAGCCAAGTGTTGGCTTTAACGTTTAATGAAGCAATCGCAATTTCCACCTCCACCCATTGTTTATGGGCTGCACTGGGAGCGTAAAGGGTATTAATCGCCTCACGCATGAGCATTGTCAGACCCACACCATATGAAAAGCATAATGAGTCGCTTGGCTGGGGCGATTCTGAGACGGCAAGGGCGACGTTTTCGTCTTTGTTTAGTGATCGCTTTCTTGGGGCTAGGCGTCCCGGTGTTCCATCTTCGTTCTGGTCATTTGTCGAAGCATTCCTTCTCATGTTGTCAAGCAAGTTGAAACTGGGCCGACTTCGAGCCGCTTTGTCGTCGAAATCTTTCTGGAGAAGTTGGTTATGCAGATCCCCCTCCTCAAAAGGCATCGGAAGTGGTGTTGTGCAGAACGCCTCGCTCATCCTTGGAGGACGGCCAGTTATTCCTGAAAGCGAAGTATCGAGTACATACAGTGCCCACCACACCCGATATCTAATTTCCTTCGATAATGGGGCCACACTCTGGCTTTCGCTGCGGAGGTGGAGCCCCATAGCCAGAGCAGAGCAGATTGCGATACCGCAGCACTTCCACGACCTGGTGAGGGGAAGCCATTAGCAAGGAAGCTGGTGAGAAGATCAAATCCGAGAGTGGGATATCAGCACCTGTTGACTTGCCCACTAGCAAGGAGGTAGAACGCTGCTAGGCCCTCGACCTGCACCTGCTGCAAGCTTGCATGATCTCGCAATGACGCCTTGTCCATACTAAGGTTCCATCCCCGTGAAAAGAAAACTCGATGTGGGGCCTCATCACACTCGGCGATCTTCTGCGTGGGTGATAAGTGCAGTCCCGCAATGGCGAACATGAAATTCATGACAGCTAACCATTGCTTTCCAGGTCGCGCGGTTGAATCTGCGTACCATGTTTGATACTGACCAAGAAGGGTCGTTTTGCCAACGATTGGAAATGATGGGTGGATGATTCGAAAGTATGTGTTAATGAGCTGGTCCGCCTCGGTCTTCTCTGGCCGCACGAACACATTAATTTCATCTCGCACCTCCATTTTCGAGTCATTGCTGTAATAATCTATGGAAGCGATGGACGATTGACTAAAACCATCTTGTGACGGGGATGATGTGGCAGAGGCTTGTTCGAGTGCAGACTTGATTCTGTACAGCCATGCCATTTCCGAGTGCTCACCCACAAATCCTAATGCCTGTAATTCCCCGTTTCGATTGAAATCCTCCTTTGTGTAGCCAACGGTAAACCGAGAAGCTTCTGATGCATCGCAGGTCTCTGCTAGGGAAGGCAAAGCCAGCCGAGCCCGATCGTGGCTCAAAACCTACATATCGTCAGACAGCGAACACGAATCTTGCGGAGATGAGCTCGTTCAGCTCGACAATCTAGCCTGAGCTAACATATGATAGGTGAATCTCACTTTCTTCAATGTTTGGTCAATATGCTGGGCAGAGTTGGTGTCGAGTTTGGGGTAGACATCACGCAACAGGTTTTCTAACATTTCAACATGTGCGCTCAAGTCCTCCATTCTTCTGATAATACACGTTAGCATTGAACATTATATGTGAATCCTTGTTCGCCACATACTTGTTCATCAACTCCCGCTTTCGCTCGCTGTAGTTGCAGTCGAGCCCTAGGTCTTTACACCTATGACACGCCGGTCGGTGACCGCTGCATTTGGTCTTTAGCCCACGACACGCTTTGCATGCTTGACTAACTCGGGCTCTGCTACTAAAGCTTGTTGGAGTATTTGTGCGAGATATTGGAACCTTAGGATTTGGTTTGTGGTGATTTGACGTGAGAACGATTCCCCTGGGTGGCACCTCGGGATTGCCTGGAAGGCCGTCGAAGACGAACCTGTCCGGACAATCAAGCAACTGGGAATTTTCAACAAATTCGTGATCATGTAGAAAGAGCATATTCGGCGCTGAAGTGCTCTCAAGGAACGGCACCAGATGGGAGTTAGGATACCCAGTCATTGTTTTGCCTGCTGCCTGACAGCCTTAATAAACCGTTTAGGGCTTTAAGGATACCTAAAAGGCTCTGAATTACATTTGTATGCGAACGAGTATCTGCAGGTCTTTAGCTAACATTCTCGGCTTCGAGCCTCTCCCTGCATGCAACCATTTTCTCTTCACCAATTTGCCGAAAAATGCGACAATGCAAGTTTCAACAAGCATGCATCACCCATCCCTTCAACAATCCAAAGAGGCAGATCACGCGTTCCAGCTAGTGAAATCAAAAGCCTTACGTTTCGACGCTCAGACCATTAAGCTGGGAAACAAAGTATCATTGATCGGTAATACAAAAATCAACGTATAAAGGGGCATACCATGCAGGCACGAACGTGGTATGGATTTCTCACGGTTGCGTCGCCGCTATTCTGTTCATAAAATCTATTGTTGCGCTCTCGTTATTGATACCCCTTCACTAGCTTGTAGTTGAGTTTGGATGTGCTGTGACAGCCTCATCTAGTGGTAGCTCAAAAATAATTGCATGGTATTAAGAGTCACCTAAGACGGACCTACAGGAAATGTTTCCATGGATTATAGGGGAGGGTAGAAAGAAGTGGACATATAGGGTCGTATGATCCAGGAACGAATCATATTAGGGCTCAACTGGAGAAATAATACATACCATGTCGCTCGAAATACGATTACCTCAAGAGGCAGCCCGATCCTCCTAACAGATTAAATGACCGGATTCAGTTTCTACGGGCATATCTAAATTAAGGAGTTAAGGCAAGTTGTCGGCGCTCATGTTGCTTTGACACTCGATCGTTCTTTACTCCTGTCTTATGTGTACTGCTGCATCAATGTTGAGCATGGACCAACTCATTACCCGTTGCTATTGGTCGGAATACTCCGTACTTTTGCGTTCGGCACGCGCTTTCCTGCGAGGGCCGCAAAAATATGACAGCCGTTGAAAACAAATAGTCGATATGAGCTCACTGATTGTCAGAGTCCATATTAGGTTCCCGTGAATTTGAAGTAGCGGGGAGCTAGCAAACTAAGAATGCGAGGCCGCCACCTTCGATTGGAACACAAAGACACAGACAGTATCGACCTCAATCATTTCTTTTCCCTAAGCCCCGCATTTATTCAGTGGTCATGGGCATGATAAAAGGTCCGGCCCTATGTAGTATCTCATGGGCAAAAGGCCGGAAAAACGGAGAGCTACGTACCAGTTAGACAATATGTCCTTTACTCATCCATAGTTTGCAATTGTCCTCAGTCCCCTTGTAATTATACCGGGAAATTATAACGCAAAATTTCAAAATGACAGAAGCAAATAATAGAAGGGCAATCAAAAGACGGAAACCTAAATATTCATACTAACAAACGCTAAACTAATGCGGTTATATTCTGCAAGGTGCCCCTTCGGAGCGGTTCAGGTGGATAAAATAGCCGTCAAATGACAATCATGTGGCTTAGGTCCGCAGTGCCACCACGCAAACTCTAATATTGATCTTTCGGTCAGCCTCCAATGTAATACTATTACCATCAGTCCTACTAGCACGTGCTTCAAATGGGCAGCGATTAGATATACGGTCACTGTTCAAAAGTTTTAACAGCCCCTGGCCCCACAGCCCTTCGATTATATAACATTCTGCCATTCAAAAACCCCACGCAATCAACTTGATAAGGTGTATAACATTCCCAGTTCTCAATGATTGCATGTACACAACGCGGCATCTGGCTGAATAAAGGGTCCTCCACGCGGGTGGCAGCTCAGGGGTCCCGATAGAATGAACCCCACACCGATATGATATCCCTTCCGATCAGTTCCTTTCGGCGGATAAAATAGCCGGCGAATACCAATTATGTGGCTTGTGTATATAGTGCCAGGGTGCAACTTCAATGCAGATATTCTGTAAGTTTGTCATGTAATAGAATTATCATCAGGTTGAGTACTTAGTGCATGATTCAGAGCTCTATTGCGGGCGCTCCAATGAGCTTTCAGCGAACATCAACCTATATTGTTGCATTTTCATGATTTATTTTGGGAAACCAGCTGATTTATCAAGGTTACTATGTGTTGTCAGAATTAATAAAGTTTGTAACAATGACAAAACTTTCCTGGGGAATTCCCTAGAACTCAGTTGACAGAATTCAGACAGTTAATTGCTAGGATAATTCTTGAGGGCAACTGCCCATCCAGAATTCAATTATAAGCGCCTTTTTACCATGAATCCGCGCAATGATTGGACTTAATCCGTTATACGACCGCAGTCGGTTCCTCCGCATCTTGATATGCGTTTTGATGTAGTCATAAGCCTTTTCCTGTCGAGCCTGCATCAGTAGTTTGTTGAAACGGATTAATAGTCAACAATGTAAAAGAGCGAGAGGAAACCCCTCGACTTGAAGCTTCCAGTCCTGTGCTAAAAAAGTAACGAGAGTTACCGAGGAATGAATCCTCGATATGGCATTACTTCGCGACAGTTAAGTTGCATTGTTTAGTTTTACTTCATAGCTTGATTATGATCTGATATTGTCTTAGAGATCTGATTGCAGACGAGACCTCCTCGTAAAAATATTGCACAAATAGACGACTAGAGGAGAATATAGACCACTTCAATCAAAATTCACAGCTACTAACCTGCAAGGATCATCGTCAATGGAGATTGTCCTCCGGGGCTTGTGATATGACAGAACAAATAATGGAGACACTCCCAGCTAGGCTTTGCAAAGGCAAGGTATGGAATGGAAGCTTTCACCAAGACCATGTCTCCGCCCCTACTATTGGCTCCTTCCTTGGGATGTTCGGTCTGAGCATTGCAGACACAGTTATCTGAGTATCTTCAAAAATTCAATTATGCATGTCGCAACTGGCCATGGCGCCAAGGGTGCGGAAAGGGCCAGCGCTAGGGTATAAAAGGGTCTTTAACCCCAGGGTTAAACATATCGTCTCACCATGATCTCTCACGTTTTGAGATCACTCCTCTAGGGGTACTTACCGAGCTGATATAACTTTGGGGCCCTTGATGATAGATCAAAATGGAGTATTTCATCATCTCCGTAATCTGCTACGTCCTTGTCACGCGACTGAAAGCAGCAGCCGGGCAAGGGCGAAAAATATTACGGAGATGATGGAAGCCTTCATTTTGACCTGTCCTCGAAAGCCATGAAGCTACGCCATTTCTCAAAGTGCTCCTCTTACACGGAATATTAAATGACTTACAATGACTCTCTGCTGTCTGTTTCTAGAGAGAGCGTGGTTAGCAAGCTGAGAAAGAAGGTTTCCACTTGTGCATCAGCTTTGTTGACCAGAGATCTGGACATTTTGGATAAGTCAATTGTTGTAAAGGCCTGATGAATATTACTGAATTTGCAGAAGGTTCCACACGAGTCCTGGGTAAGCCCGACTGCAGGACCAAAATTACTTACCCCAGAACGTAAGTCGTTCACATGAATAATTAATTGAGAGCCCAGTGATCTAATTCATCAACCAAGTCATTGTCAATATATGCGTGAGAACTTACATCAGCAAGCCACCATGGATAACCAGGAAATTCTCTTATAGTGGGGACCCTCCCTTGCGAGCCAACACCGCTACGAGGGACAAGGTGTTGCCATTATGGTCAATTTATTTTGGTGGATACTTCTCAATGCTTGAACGGAAACTGGAGTCAACAACAAATTGTTTTCTTCTGTTCGTCGGTGTTGTTGCTCAAATATTCGACCACAACAGAACTTGCTCAGTCCTTTGGATGGTCTCCTGGAACCGAATAGATCGATTAACAGATAAGGATTTGTAATGACAGTTTGAACACCAAGAAGAACGAACGAACGAACTAATCTTATCACTCGTCTCAGCACCCACAAATTCTTTTTCATAGCCATAAACTCAAATAACAGGAGAACGATACCGACCATGACTCGAGTCTTAACATAATTGGTCATGGATACAATTCTCAGAATACATCCCCAGGTACCAAGCAAATTAACCGTGTTCGAAAAGCTTGGACCGCACTAAGCTAACTCTTGGTTTTCTTCTATAGAAGTTATCCTTGCTAGCGAGATTGGCGAAGCCTCAGAACATAGACCGCCGGGCCTTGTGATATATTGCCAATGCTTTCGAGGATCCTGAAATCTGATGAGTCATATATGCATAGGCTCATTGATATTGATTGCAGTGTGACAAAGGCCTTGACACGATACTGTTAGGGTAATTGATATCATCTATCCATCCACTATAGTAAGTCTAGTTTGAATAGGAACTTTCTTTTAGATCATATGCCAAAAGGATCACGGTACGATAGATTGGCTCCGAAGAAGAGATCAATTGGCAGCGAGAGAAAGAGGTTTTCAAAGACTGGCACCCGATAGGTGTATATGTGTCGAGGCATCTCGGCTGTCTCTTCCCCGTTGCCTCACTGTTCGGCTCCACTGATTAGAGCTCACCAAGCTAGGATACGAGGCTATTTTCCTTGACAGGCACTAGTAGGTATCTGTTGCAGGATATCATGCAGTCCACGATCAGGAGCCTAGCAGTCTATCCAGTAAGGGTAATGGTCTCCACTCAATCGATAATTCCCAATTTATCTTGATCTCCGTGAGATTGTGAAATGCGAAAACTATAATTATGCTTTTTACGAGAAAATTCAATACCAACAATGGCTAGTAAAGGGTCAGCCACACGGGTGGCAGCTAAGGGGTTGCCGAGAGAATGGTTGATCCCACGTCAGTATCCCTTCCAATTAGTTCCACTCGATGGATGACAACCATGTGACTTATGTATGCAGTGCCATGGCGCAAACTCTGATACAGATCTTTCCTAATTATCATTGTAATACAGTTACCATCCCAGGTAGTGCTTAGTGCACTAGTCAGAGCTTAGCCTCCACGACGGATCTGCTATGCTACAGTGTTTTGAAACAGCTATCCATTGCCATCAACTATCCACACTCCTACAAAGATCCAAAAATCGGCTGGGGCACGTTACAAGCTCTTGTGGGTGACCGCTCTCAACGATTCGGCCACCTTCTATGACAAGGACGCGGTCAAAATCCATAATGGTTGACGGCCGATGCGTAACAGCCAAAATCGCGTGTTCACGAAAATGTGATCGAAGAGGTGTCTGCATCAGCTCCTCGGTATCAATGCTGATACCATGACTTGTTAGTGTGCAGAATGCGTGCCTAGCATGGATTATATGCGGGCTCTGACCTGCTTGTTGCTTCATCCATAACTAAAAGGTTGCCATGTCGCACAATGCCTCGTGTAAGGCACACCAGGTGCTATCATTCACCAAAGTGCCTCAACCACCTTCACCCTCAACGACTGCCCAGAGATTCACAGCACTGAGAGTTCCTGTTTTACCGCTTCCCGTCCGTAATAGTCCTCACTGTTCCGTGGTCAAATATTCCATGACATTCGTCATCATTGTTATTTTACCGTTCGGCTTCTGGACTGTTTTTCGTGCATGGGCGCAGAACATTGCCGCAGGCGTCTACGCTGCCGCATCTTCTATCGGCTCCTTGTTCTCTGCCCTTGACTTTGTTGACCAAGGCGCTGTCCCCGCGAAGGATTAGATGTTCTGCGCAAGTTTTATATAAGGCATTCAACGGGTTTACATTGTTGCTTTGTGGTTTTGGGGTTCCAGAGTCACCTCGGTGGAAGTTGCAGGCGTTTCAAACGCTGCCATAAGTACATGGAAACTCACAGTTGTGGTGATGCCCATTGCTACAGTATGTTCACCGTTGGCGTCCTCCTTGTTCTAGGCCTCCCAAAATACTATCGCCAAGCACCTGGAAAGACCCTCTTCTTCGACACTTCCCTCTTCCGCCGACGCATCGTTCTCTAGTGCTTCTTCACGGTCATCATCCAGAACTGGTTCCTCTCCGCGGTGTTTGGTCGCAACTGGTCATTCCTTTGGTCCTCTCAACACGCTAAGTCATGGCAATTCCATATCTTGGCGATCTTGTTCTTTATTATTGTTTGGACTCTTGCGCTACTCATCTTCCGTATCTTGGCCAGGGAGCATAGTTGGATCTTACCTTTCTTCGGTCTGAGTCCTGGTGCACCACGCTGGGCGCAAACATGGTGGGGAGTATTTAATATTGGCTACTATCTGCCATGGGCCGGAGGTCTGACTTCCGGAGCCCTCATATCGCGATGTCTCTGGCTCTAGCTTGGCGTTCTTGCCGAGGTTCAACAAGTCGGTCTGGGGATGATTCTCTTGCAGACGCTAACAAGGGTTCACGTCTGCTTGTCCTATTGGCTGCGCAGTCTCTTGGGACTATCGCTACAATTTGTGCCCGTGCACCCAACAAGCTTTGTCCAGCTGGTGTCTCTCCGGATAGTGAATCGCTGGATAGAGTTGGCAATGCGTGGTTCTGGATTGCCCTTTTTTTGCAACTTTTGGCTAGGCCGGTCTTCAGTTCCCTTTCTCGTGTTCTAAAACCTTACTTGCTGTTATTACAGCTTTAGTTTCCTTCTGTTTTATCGCCGAGAGCAGCTTAACAGGCCGTAAAGTTGTGATCTTAAACTACGAGATGAACAACTGCAAGTCACTGTTTTCAAGATTGGTTTAATGGGGAATCTATGTACGAAGTAGTACTATTGTGTTTATTTGCCCTACATGAGCTTGCGGTCCCCGTGCTTAGGGACCAGCAATTAGTTCTAGGAAACAGCGCAGCCTCATCGCCCTAAACCCCCTACATTATAGAGGACATCGCCGCGGGGATCTCACAGTACGTCCAATATACCAGACACTAAGGCATCAGCAGAAATTAGTTCATTTGTCTTCTTTGTTTCTCAGGATCACGATAGTAATGCCATAACAAAAAAAAAAGTAAGCCGACAATCAAACAAAGCTCCGTATTGCATCCACCACCAGGTAGTAATTGATTCGCCGACATGATGCTTTAAAAGTAAGTGTACATCTGAGCACCACTAGTGCCCCCGGGGCTCACAGTAGTAACTGCAACGGGTCCAATCCCGGAAGGTGCAACTGCACTGATGAAGTTATCACTGAGAATAGTGAACATAGCTGGGTTATCTCCAAAGATCACATCAGTGGCTTTCGTGAAGCCAGTTCCAGTAAGAGTCACATTATTGCCGCCCGCGATGGCTCCGCCAGTAGGCGACAAGCTTGTAAGGGTCGGTGCGCCAACATATTGGAATATGGCGCCATTGCTGGTGGCAGAAGCGGTGTTAACTCTTAGAGCAGTAGCCCCTGCTGCGCCAGCAGGGGAGGTTGCAGTTACCGTATTGTCAGAGATAACGGTAAAGGCGGTTGCTGCAGTTGTCCCAAAGAATACATCAAGGGTATTGATCAAGCCTGCCCCGTTGATGGTCACAACAGTGTCCCCGCCAATCGGTCCGGAAGTTGGAGTGATAGAACTAATAACTGGAGACGGCATGAAGCTGAAGCTAAGCGAGTTGTTTGTGCCGCCTGGTGTGGTAATATTTATTGGAACTGTACCAATAGTGTGCAAAGGTGTGATAGCATCTATTTCAGTATCACCGACCACTGTAAAGCTATTCGCAGGAGTGGTTCCAAAATTCACACTGGTGGCGCCTGTAAGGCCATTCCCAGTGATGACGACACTATCGCCGCCAGCCGTAACACCTGCAGTTGGAAAAGCTGCTGTAAGTGTAGGTGCAGTAATGTAAGTGTAATTGAATCCTGTACTGGCACCAGCAGGCGTTGTGACTACTACAGAGGCAGTCCCAGCAGTACCTAGTGGAGCCAGAGCATTCACTTGAGTCGGTGACAAGATGGTGAAAAAATCGGCTGGTGTACCAGCAAATGTAACTGATGTGGCACCATTGAGGTTTGCTCCCATGATGGTGACAGTATTCCCACCTGATACCGGGCCGGACTCCGGGGTAAGCGCTGTGATGGTGGGCATGGGAGCAGCTATATAGGTATAGTTACTGCCAGTACCACTAATACCACCAGGACCAGTGACACGGACAGAGACGCTGCCGCCACCAGTAGGGCCCGGGGGAGCAACAGCGGTTATCAGTGTGGCAGAGACCACAGTGAATGAGGTGGCAGCAACTGAGCCGAAAGCCACAGCCGTGGCGTTTGTGAAACCAGAGCCGATGATGGATACAGTATTTCCGCCGGCAGCAGGGCCGCTGGTTGGGTTCACACTGCTAACGACGGGAGCAGCTATATAGGTATAGGTAGGGCCACTGGTACTAGTACCACTAGGTCCGGTGACACGGACAGAGACGCTACCGCCACCAGTAGGGCCCGGGGGAGCAATAGCAGTTATCAGTGTGGCAGAGACCACAGTGAATGAGGTGGCAGCAACTGAGTCGAAAGCCACAGCCGTGGCGTTTGTGAAACCAGAGCCGATGATGGATACAGTATTTCCGCCGGCAGCAGGGCCGCTGGCTGGGTTCACACTGCTAACGACGGGAGCAGCTATATAGGTATAGGTAGGGCCACTGGTACTAGTACCACCAGGTCCGGTGACATGGACAGAGACGCTACCGCCACCACTAGGGCCTTGGGGAGCAACAGCAGTTATCAATGAGGCTAAGACGACAGTGAATGAGGTGGCAGCAAGTGAGCCGAAAGCCACAGCCGTGGCGTTTGTGAAACCAGAACCGAAGATGGATACAGTATTTCCGCCGGCAGCAGGGCCGCTAGTGGGGCTCACCAGGCTGACGACGGGAGCAGCTATATAGGTATAGTTACTGCCAGCACCACTAATACCACCAGGACCAGTGACACGGACAGAGACGCTGCCGCCACCAGTAGGGTCTGGGGGAGCAACAGCGGTTATCAGTGTGGCAGAGAACACAGTGAATGAGGTGGCAGCAACTGAGCCGAAAGCCACAGCCGTGGCGTTTGTGAAACCAGAGCCGATGATGGATACAGTATTTCCGCCGG